TCTCTCTCTCTCTCTCTCTCTCTCTCTCTCTCTCTCTCGTGTGTGCCTCCAGGCAGGCCCGCCGGGTGCGCCTTGTTGCCTTTGATGGCTGAGTCGGGGGCCCGGCTGATGGACCTCGCCGCTTCCTTTCTGGACGCTGCTGCCATGTCAAAGAGGGCCAGAGAGGCACAACACCACGACCGACATCCGGTCGACCCGTTCGGGACCAACTCTACGCCTCCGCCTGCGACGGTCGGTCGGTGTTGACAGCCCCTCGCTCTCTCTCTTCTCTCTGTGGATGCTGCGACCCCGCCTGCCCGCCTGACCAGACAGGCCTGGCCTGGCCAGCTGCCCGGCCATGCGCGCGCCGCGGCTTGGTTGGCGCTCGCCCTCGATTTTTGGGTTTGGCGGGCGTGGCCTGCCTGCCTCTTGGCTGCCGGCCCTGTCGCCGGCGGAGCGACGAGGATGGGCGGACAACGGCCCCAGGCGGGCAGGGCGGATGGACAGAGGAGAGCCTTGCTGGGCTGCCCGACGCTGCGCTAAGCTGGATGGCCTCGCAGCGGGCGCCGTGGCTCCTTGCTGCCCCCTCAGCCCTCTCTCTCCGCTTTCTCCACCAACGCCGCCGCCGCCGCCGCCTCCGCTGCTGCTGCCGCCTCCTCGCCTTCCTCGCCCTCCTCCTCCTCATCCTCCTCATCCTACTCCTCCACGCCATCTCCGTCAACCCTTCCCGGCTCCGCTGTCTCTCCAATCCATCTACGCTACCCACCGACCTGCCTTCGCACACGTTCACGCCCACCTCGTCCACCGCTTGCCCGCTCTGCCTCTCGCCAGCTTCGACCAAACCACCAGCAGCATCTGCAACCGCATCGCATCACTGCGTCGACTGGCCACGGCGACCTGCCAGCGGTTCACCGGCTGGCACCTCTTTCTTTGCATCGCCAGCCACCGAGCCTGGCTCTGGCAACGGCACCGCTCGGAGCGTCCATAGACCTGCCGCTCCCCTGCCGCCGCTCGTGGGCCATGCCCTGCGCTCTCGCTCCCGGCCTTTGCCTCGCCAGCCGCCGACGGTAGTCGTTTCGACCTCGTTTTCCGTCCCCTTCTCCCTTCTCCCACGCTCTCCGCTGATTCGTGCCCTCGGTGCCCATCAGGCTCTCTCGCGTACGTCGCACTCACGCGTCTCGAGCGTGAAGCGCGCGTCCGACCCTCACACACAACACCCACACGCGCGCTACTGCCGCCCGTTGTGCAGGCCGGCTTGATCGTCTAGCCCTTCTCAGAGACCCGTCCGCGCGGTCCCTCCAGTCCCGGCTCTGTCTCGTCTCGTCCGGCTCTAGCTGCTGTTCTCGACATGGCCTACCCCATGATCAACTCTGGCTCGGCGGCGAGCCCATGGCTCAGACCAAGGCAGGCCTCGGGCACCGCCTCGTCGAGCTCATCGACATCGACCGCGCCGTCAGGCTCCACGACTGCCACCGGCACGGGCACGGGCATCACAACGGCCACCGCCAGTAGCACTCGCACCAGCACCAGCAGCAGCAGCGGTCCCAGCAGCGGCACCGCCAGCAGCAGCAGCAGCAGC